TCCAGGACGATATGAACAAAATCCAATCGTCCAGGACGATATCTCAGGACGATAATTAATTTTCCTGGACGATAAAAACCCTTACTCACTGACTTTTGCTATGCACTGATCGTCCTAGGACGATCCCAAATCGGCCCGGACGATCCTGGAAGGAAATCAAAGAAACGAGCTCTCACAATCTCCTCACCTTAGAAAAATGTCGTCCCGACATTTCCCTAAGGGTCCGAAGCAAATCGAGACAAAACAAATCTATCCAAATCCAAATCAAAATCAAAACTCGTCGAAAATCATACAGATCACACAATTCATTCAATCACATGTCACTATGCATGGTCATATGTCAATCAATCAATTAGTCAAATCATCTTACCAGTAGAACTTTCCAGTTGTCGTTGATCTTCATAATGTTGTAAACTATAGACACGTGGAACCACTGGAGGAAGTGCAGGAGGTCTTGGCGCAACGGTCTCCCTCTGACTATCTCTGACAGCTCTATCAGCTCTATCATTCATCCGGTTCATTGATCTTTCACTATAGGCTCTTGAGCCAATAGTCCTATGTCCTGTACCAGAATCAGTTCTTCCGCCCAATCCTTTCTGAAGGCAATTTGCTGCTCTATGTCCATGCTGTCCACAGTGAAAACATTGTCCCGTCAATAAGTAACACCGACCTGCATGTCGTCGACCACAATGAATGCACTCGCTGGAACTACCAAAAGATACTACTGATGCAGATCCCTTTGAATCACCATACTTGCTTCTCTTATCTCTATCCCTTTCTCTACTCGGTTCATCTCTTCTACTTGCTTCATCTCTCCTCCTCCTGGTGTCTTCATATCTCGATGCTGGCGTTATCAAATCAATCTCTATCAGTCTGGCCCGCTCTACCAACTTAAAAAACTCATGAATCCGGAAGGGTACTAGCGGATGTCTCAGCTCTCTATTCAATCCTTGCAGAAATCTATAACATTTTTCTTCAGCAGTAGTGATCAAATGAGAAGCATACCTAGCAAGTGCAGTAAACCCGGCCTCGTACTACATCACTGTCTTGCGTCCTTGTTCCAATCTCATAAAAGCTTCTTGCATTTGTCGTTGAGCTGATGGAGGTACAAACCACATTCGAAATACTGTAGTGAACTCATCCCATGTAATCTAAGCATTTGTCTTCCCCTGAAATTTCTCTCTCTGTTGTCCAATCCACCATTTCTCTGCTTCTCCTTCAAACAGAAACACAGCCAAAGGTACCTTTCGATTTCCCGGACACTGCATGTTGTCAAAGATCTTTTCTACTCTCATTATCCAATCTTCAGCAGCCTGGGGTCCTACAGCTCCTTTGAACAACGGAGGCTTCAACTTATGAAACATCTGCAAATGCTTATCTGCTTCTTCTTCTTTACTTCCACTCATCTTACTCTGTGCATCCCCCATCACATGTGCTATAGCAGTAGCCAACTGCATCATACTTTCTGAAGGTACTGGAACTGCAATGTGTTGCTCATTTGGTACACTTGATTCCGGATTATCCATTTATCTTTTCACCTGCACAGTTCAGAATAAATGATACACACATGCAACTATGTATGCAAAATGATGCACTTAAAGCTACCTATTCTACCCAACTCTCAATCAAATCCTATAACTTTGGTAACAATCAATTCTTCCAATAACACTGCTCTGATACCAAAAAGTTTGTGACGCCCCAAGATCTAACTTGGAAAGAACTTCAGTCAATTCATTAAAACCATTTACCATAGCTATCTATAGTCTTCAATAACAGTCTACCAAACAATCGATAATTAAAACATCAATGTACAGTTCCATTCATACCTCAAAAGATCATATATAAAACTCAGGAGCTACACTATGAACACAAACACATGAACTGAAATCTATCATGCCCTGAGTACAAAAGAACACTATAACTAAAAAGAACAAAAACCTGGAGATTCCTGATCAACCTCAATCTCCTGCTCCCTTGCCCTGACCTGAAAATATTAACCACATATAATGAGCTTCAAAAAACCCAGCAGGTCACTAATACCTACAACTGAAATCAAAGCACGGTACTGGAAACAATATGCATGTCAGTCAAGCGAATCCATAACAGTCAATTGCACATGATCAATGAATCAAAGCACGGTACTGGAAACAATATGTATGTCAGTCAAGCGAATCCATAACAGTCAATTGCACATGATCAATGAATCTATGCAGATACGGAAATTAATAGTCAATGCACAATCGATAAAATCCATAGTCAGCGATAGGAGAATTAATAAACAGTAGAAAAATCTAGGCAGAAGAATCTCAATTAAATCGCTCAGTCAAATCAATCGTATCAAATAAAATCAATCAAAGCAATACTCTCTGGTCAATAAAATCGATCGGTATGAAATCATGTAAAACAATCAAATCAATACTTCGCAAGAACGGTTGAAGTCGAATCAATACAGTAAAACCTGATCCATATCAGCAATGGATCACATGCAGTAGTTCAATACGGTGTATCAATGAAGCGATAGTGTCAATGAATCAATACCAATGAATCAGTAGTATCCATGTCCACAGTATCAATGAATCAATACAATATCCATATCAGTATCAGTATCAATGCTCAGTGACATAATGCGAATATCAATAAAATCGTACAGTAACAATAAATCCGTAAATCCGTCCGTAAATCCACTCAAAATCAATAAATCAATAAATCCATCACGAGATCAACATGTCAATACCGTACGCATGCACTTCAATACAATAGTCTTACTGAACAAGTACAATCACTGGCTATTAAGGTGTTTTTCAATCCATAGTGCTGTTGTAGAAATCCATAATTATATCTATCCGTTGGTTCAATAAGAGTCGTCACTCTGTGCCTGTCGGCATAAGAATCTCCTTATGCCTCCCAATTGTTATATCAATGCAATAGAGGATAACACCAAACCCTTTTTAAAGGAAAGCCCGTCGGCCCACCATCCTGTACAGGTCAAGTCAATCTCCAACCAACGGTTCAACCAGTCTTCACTTGTCTTTCAGTAACAATAACCATAGAGCAATCATATATTCACATTCGTAAGCATATCAATTCAAATCATCAATTTCAAAAAATCGGAAATCGTACGAAAATCCAGCGGCAAAACGGCAGTATACGGAATTTACACAAAAAATCACAGAATTCACAAATTACCAAATTAGTACAGAACGTTCACAACAACATTATAAGACTTTTATTCTACTGCCCAAACAATTTCAGACAACACCAAAATTTACTGGCAAAATAAAACACCGCCAAATCAAAACTACCCGGTCAAAAATCTCCAAAAAATAATCAAATCGTGTAGAAATACCATATCAGAAACATACCAAAAGTTGTGTGGTAAAACTTTCGTCAATACAAAATGATGCGCGTTTTTCGGTAACGAAAATACAAATTTGAGCACAGAAATACCAAAACTCGACATCTTCGAAAACAGAAATAGGGTTCGGAGTCCTTACTGCGAGATAAACACTTCTCCCAACAGCGGCGACGGACGAAAAGCACTCCGCGGCCTCCGAAATCCAGCTTTTCCTTTGCTTTCCTTCTCCTTCTCTCTCCTCAGATATTTTGTTATTAAAAAAAATGATTTTTCTCTCTCTTCAAAACGAGCTGATTTTCTTTTAATACAAACCTGATCGGCCCGGCCGATCGCCACATCATCCAAGACGATATGAACAAAATCCAATCGTCCAGGACGATATCTCAGGACGATAATTAATTTTCCTGGACGATAAAAATCCTTACTAACTTTTGCCATGCACTGATCGTCCCAGGACGATCCCAAATCGGCCCGGACGATCCTGGAAGGAAATCAAAGAAACGAGCTCTCACATAGAGAGAGAGGGAGGTGATTGGGGGAGGATTTAGGGAGTTTCCAAAGAGGGATTGTGGATTAGGAAAGTTATTATGAGATCCAATTTATTGTAAATTTAAATTGGGATCATGAATAAAAACTTTCCTTAATAGGAATTCCAAAATTGGCAAGATTTTGAAATTCAAAATTTGAATTTCAAAAGGAGCCAACTTTTTCCTCTCATGCCCAACTAAATTTAGAAAGCATTGTGATGATTGAAATCATCATCCTGATGGAAATTTGAAGTGGATGGGGCGGCGGCAAGGGGAAGGGGGAGGGACGGGTTGATGTTGAGGTGGATGGATGGGGTTGAGGTGGGGAGCTAATGGACGGTGGGCATGGGAAGAAGAATTAGGAGGCGATCGGGGTGGTGAGCTTGGACGGTGGTGGTGTTATGGAGGCCGGCGGGTGGGAGTGAGGGAAGGGGTGGAGATGACGACGATAAAATAGAAAACCATGAGTCGAGGACTCTTCCAACGACTGGTGGGCCATGCACTTGCTCCCTTTGAGCTCTCTCTCTCTCCCTCTAGCTCTCATGCAAGAAGAAGAAACAAGATAAAATTTTCATTCAAAATATTCATTAACCAATATATAAGAGAATGGTCATATATATAGGCCTCACAATGACAAATAAATAAAAGACAATAATGCCCCTCGGATTACAATAGTGACCAACTACCCATAAGGGTAAAAACGGAAAACTGAAGAAATAATAATGACTAATACATAAAATGCATCAAAAGTAAAGACTTTCCATCGTAGCCATCGATCTCCTGTGTCGCCTCTGATAGACGCGTCGAAATCTCGTATCGATGTCCCCATCAACATGTCACTAAACAACCCATTCCAACGTCCAAGTAATACACATCTCATAAAAGATGATAATATTCCGTAAGAAATAGGTCAGTGTTGCACTTTTTTTATGAGAATGTTAACTAACGAGGCATCCATTTGTATGTCAGTTTCGGTCAAGGTAGTTAAGATAGCACAAATTATTGGACAACGGTCACCAAAAAGAGCCATCGATATCTGGATCAGCATGAATTGATTGGATTTACCTGAATAAAAAGCACGTGCTTTAAATTAAGTTGCAAATTTCAAATATAACTACCTGGATAAACGTTTCTAGGATTAGCACATGGTTGCAGAGCTTCCAAAGATTGCACAGAGCCCCACAGCTTTCTATGTCTAAACTTCTGCAATGCATAGTGCAGATATTAGCATGCAGTTCCCAAAAGATCATTAGGCGCATAAGGTGAATCTTCTTTATTTTTGCTTCAATTTAGCAAGTTTGTCTTGTTTAAGTAGAATGCTGAGAACAGATACATGGAAGTAACAATCTAACTCTAAGCAGGTGGAAGAGTACCTGACCAATCTGGTAAATTCCATCTGCGGTTGCTATGTGTTGTATGATTTCCCCAGCTGAGTAATTTGCGACGAGAAGATGTCCCAGCAGCGACACCACAGAAAAGGAAATCCCCACTATGGCAAATAACTTGAATTTGTTTTTGACAGCCATCTTAGATTGTCATCCATATTTCATATTCTATGCAAAGATCCGAACGCCATTCTGAACAGACAAAGGTAAACATTATTTTCAGAAATAAAAAATGATGGTAATGGCCTAAATGTTCTGATATTCTTCAGGTTTCAGAAGAGCGTGCACTTTATTGTAGCTGATTCAAAGGAATGCTTGACCTTGTGAGATTGTTAGTGGTGATTCTTTCAACTTAGAGAATTCCAATAGTGATGTTTGAGGGAAGTACTGATAGACAATTCCCTTAGGGATAAAAAGGCCATCAACTATGAAGCATGGACATTTCAAAAACCTTTTGATGCTCATTTTAGACATGCGCCAGACATTGACATGACTCAATACACGTCCAACATGCCAAAAATCCTTCTTATTTTCTTTTTTTTTTTTCAAAAATAGAGTTGGTCACAGTTGGTCACAATTAGGACACACCCCAGCATAGCTAGAATGCATCAACATGAATGGATCACACACAATCAGTCTCTGGTTCGAGAAATTTATTGTTCTTATTGAAAATAAAATACACTGTTCTTAGTTTTTGTCAATTTTTATTATATTGAAAAAATCAAATCTAATGATTGATTACATCATGATCTCCTGTTGAAATTAAAGACACTTCATAAAATATTGAAATTTATTTATAATTAAATCAATGTTAATTTTTTTAGTCCTTCAAATTTTTATGTGATTCAAATGATAATATATTTATTATTAGATGTTTTTGAAAGAAAATATCGAGATTAAGTGTTTTGAATAAACATTTTATAATAGTTTATAAAAGAAGCATCGGTGCGTGGCTTTGAAATATCTCAACTAAACTTTTTAGGTAACTGTATGAGTTAAATTTGTGAAAGCAAATTGAATTTATAGATAAGACATTGCCCAATGATTTCGCTCTCCTGCAAGAGCTTTATAAGCATCTAAGAATTGGAGCTTTTTTCAATGCAAACTAGGGTGGAATTATTGAAGATCACATTAGAGTTATTAAAACCATTAGGTTACCATATTATTATCACATATGCTTAATATTTATCATGAATTTATAGTATTAATTTTTGTAATTATCCTCATTATGGAGGACATTCTCTTTTATTGCATTTTCTTTATTGTTTTATTTTCTTGCTATTATATAAAACATGTTTGTACTAGCATTCAAATCAATCAAGTAAACATGTAGCATTTTATGTTTTTTGTCATGATATCAATCCACTTTTTTTTTTTTTTTTTTGAAACTTGCATTTTACACTACTATCAAAAGTTAAAAAAGAAAAAAAAGTGTATCACTATGGGTGAGCAAAGCTATCACTATCATCCTTCAACAAAATAAAATAAAAAAATAGAAGAAAAATTGTTACTATAAGCACTTTTTCATACAAATTTACATTCCAAACAAAATGAACACAAAGGTCTGCAGCTCTGTTGCATCCCCTAGGCACATGTTGGATGATTACGTGATTGAAATACTTTAGGAAACTAAGGTTATGAGCTTCGTGTGGTCGGGTCTTCGTGTGGTAGGAGACTTCTACTAGCAGTTTTTCACCCTGACACAGGATGGTTCGGTGGTAGAGTACCATGAGAGATTCGAGTACCTTACTAGCCGGCTGGATCGCCTTTTTGAGACGATGTTAGAGGGGAAATTCATGAAGGGACTCAAACTAGAGATCCGGCCATCCGGGCAGCAGTTAGAGTGATGAGGCCTCGTGACTTAGAAGATGCTATGGAGCTATCACAGTTAAAGGAGGACAAGAAGCACCTGGAAAGGGGGGCCAGAGGCAACATTTCATGAGGCTCATACATGTTGACCATCAATGCACATTCTTAGCTCCCAAGAGGCCAACACCGAGAAGCCTTCGTGAGGCCCCAAAGGAGAAGCTTGCAAGAGGGGGATTCGGGGGAAAATTTCAAGAAGCTCACTAAGGAGCTGCAAGAGAAACAGGTGAAGGGATTATGCTTCAAATGCGATGAGAGGTACACGCCGGGGTAAGAAGCGAACTCTTCAGGTTCTCACTGTCTGTGATGATGAGGAAGTTGAGGAGGGAGGTGAGAGTAAGGCAGTGGTTGAAGAGGAGGAAGAGCAGCATTTTGACATGTTCAAAGTCTCCTTAATCTGAGTGGTGCTATTAAAGTGAAAGGCGAAATAGTAAACATAAAGGTGTTGGTGCTGATCGACGGCGGGGCTACCACAATTTTATCTTCAATCAGGTCGTTGACTAATTGGGGGTGAAATTGGTGGACACTGGGGGTTATGGGGTGATGATGGGCATTGGGAAGGTGGATATAGGTAGAGGAGTGTGTAAGGGAGTTGTATTAACTATATAGGAGGTTCAGGTGTAACATCTCAAACTCTTAACTATCGACACATTGTCCACTTTGGCCTAAGGGTCTCACGGTTTCATCCTATTGGTGTAACTTCCATGAGTTCACTTATCCCAGAATTTATCCGGGATGAGCACGCTTAACTGTGGAGTTTCTTAAATGAAATTTCAACCATTATACTAAAAGGCGTCTAGATGTTTAAGAATTTAGTTTCCCTTACTTAAGGGATTTCATAATCTCCCTCACTTAAGTAACTAACGTCCTCATCAGCATCTTTATCCAAAAATCATCTACTGGACATAGGATAAAGGTGACCCCCTACAAGTTCAAGTGGTAACTCCCACCACGTAGCACTTTGTCTCATACAAAATTCAAGAGGTGGCTCCCTTCATATAGCACTTTGTCTTCTATGACATTTAGTTCTTATCTTATAACTGGTGTATTGTTTTGATATCATTTGAAATAACTCAAACTCTTAACTATTGAGATATTGTCCGCTTTGACCTAAGGACCTCATGATTTTAGCCTGTCGGTGTAACTTCCCAGGAGGTCATCCATCCTAGGATTTCTCTGGGTTGAGTGATCTTAATTCTTAACTGCAGAGTTTCTTAATAAAATTTTGATAATTACACCAAAAGGCGTCTCGATGTTGAAGAGTTTAACATCTATTACTTAAGGGGTTTCACATCATGTGAGCGAAGATTTTCTCCAATTAGAGTTAGGAAGCACTAATATTATCCTGGGGATGAAGTGGTTCCAGACCTTGAGAGATACCAATGTCAATTTGGGAGCACTAACAATGGAGTTGGTGGTTGAAGGAAGAAGAGTGGTGATCCGAGGAGATGCAGGATTGTCCAAGGCCATGGTGTCTCTCAAAACCATGGTTAGGACCATACAGGAAGTGCGAGGAGGATTTATGCTGGAACTGTAGAGCTTAGAGGGGATCAAACTAGAGGAAGGGGGCTTTCTTCTTTATATAAAGACACTCATACAACATTTTAGTGAGGCCTTCCAGCCACCTCAAGGCTTATCACAGCCGAGGGAGCAAGAACATGCCATCACCCTAAGGGAGGGAGTATCACCGATTAGTGTCCGACCATACCATTACACTCAGATTCAGAATGATGATATTGAAAAGATGATCCGGGAGATGTTGGAGGCGGGGATCATTAGAACAAGTGTGAGTCCCTTTTCTAGCCCAATCTTGCTGGTCAAGAAGAATGATGGGAGCTGAAGATTTTGCATGGATTATCGGGCTCTGAATAAGAAAATTGTGCTGGACAATTTTCCCATATGGATAATAGATGAGCTAATAGATGAGTTGTGTGGAGCAGTGGTGTTCACCAAAGTAGATATGAAGTCTGGTTATCATCAAATTAGGATGAGGGAGGAGGATGTCCTGAAGATTGCTTTTAATACATATGAGGGGCATTATTTTGTCCGGACTCACAAACGCCCTAGCCACTTTCCAGTCGCTCATGGACAGGGTGTTCAAACCATATCTCTGAAATTTCGTACTGATTTTCTTTTATGACATACTGGTGTACAGCATGTCAATAGAGGAACACTTGGAGCATGTGAGGGTGGTCTTGGAAGTATTACAGGAGCATCAATTTCGGGCCAATATAAAGAAGTGATGCTTTCTTTGCATAAGCCAGTGTGGAGTACTTGGGGCACGTGATTTCTCAATAGGGGGTGGCTGCAAATCAAGCTAAGATTGAGGCAATGCAAAGATGGCCTCTACCTAAAAATCTTAAAGAGCAGAGGAGCTTCCTAGGTTTGACGGTATACTACAGGAGATTTACGAGAAGATACAACACCATAGTCTGACCTTTAATAGAGCAACTAAAGAAGAATAACTTCTTGTGGGGGGAGACAGTTATATAGGACTTGGATAGACTAAAGAAAGCCATGACCACAATACCGATTTTGGCCCTATCGGATTTCAATCAAGTTTTTGCGGTGGAGACGAATACATCAAGATATGGGTTGGGGGCCGTGCTCATGCAGAATCACAGACCCATAGCCTGCTTCAACCAAATGAGAGGGAGTTGATGGTCATTAAGTTAGCCATTCAGAAGTGGCGACCATACTTATTGGGTCGGCATTTCATTGTCAGGACAGATCATATGACCTTAAAGTTCCTTTTGGAGTAGAGAATGGTAATGGAGTATTAGAGATGGCTAACAAAGCTATTAGGCTATGATTTCAAGATTCATTGCATGCTAGGATTGGAGAACAAGTCAGCGTATGCCTTGTCTAGATGTATGGGGGAGCTCCAGGAGTTGGCTATGTCAATACCACTGAAGTTGGAGTGGGGAGCTATCAAAGAGGAGAGTATGTATGATGATGAGTTTGAAATAATTAGAGAAGATCTTCTGAAGGAAGAGAGTTTTCACTCGGGCTACTCTTTAGGGGGGGAGAGACTACTAGGGGAGGTTTGTCATGCCTCGTACCTTAGTTCATATCCCACAGCTGCTGAAAGAATTCCACGGGAACGCAGTTGGAGATCACTCGGCTGTGCAGAGTACATGACCATAGCTCCTGGGGGATTACTTCAACCCCTAGCTCTACCGGACAAAGTGTGGGAGGAGGTGATGTGATGCATGAGTTGAGTTACACAAGATTAAAAGGGAATTGAATAGTAGCTTAACCATTTATATCATCATGCTTCAAATTAAAATCGGTTACACGAATTCAACGTGTTCCACTTGCTTAGGCAAAGGAATTACAAGGAAAAGTAACCAAACAATCTAAGCCAATACAAAGGGAAACGTAAAGTTAAAAGCTAGGGATTTGAATCCAATAATTAATAAAAAGTTGTTCACCTTGAGGCCCCTTCTCTCTTTTCCTACGAGACTAGGTTGAGCGGCGGAAGATCGTTCAAGCTAGAAGTGAGGTTACCACGAGGAGGAAGGAGCCAATGAACGTCGTCGTGGAGAAGGAGCTCGGAGGTGGAGGAGGCACGGTGTGACGACCATTGATGATCCACGTGTAGTCAGAGAATTGGTCGTCGATGGAGTCCACTAGCGTAGGTAGAATCCGATCCAAGTATTCTTCGACGGTATTGTCGAAGCCAAACCCCACGTCGAAGAAGGGGGATCTTAAGACGTGAATATTTCCGTAGATATCGTAGAAGAGCCCGTGATCAACGTCGGGGTCTGCCATTCACCATGGATTTGAAGACGAGTCGTCACCACAATCTCAAGGGGAGGAAGGGGTGGCGTGG